TAATAAAATTGTGCATAACTAATACTTGTATAACTAATACATGCAAACTAATACATGCATAACTAATAAGTGCATAACTAATACCATATTACTAATACATGTACAACTCTATCCGGCTATCAAACGACCCCTTAAGGCTTAGGAGGTTATCACTATTAAATTTTGAGAAATTTCTAAAAATAGCAAACACTAGACACTCTATAGCTCGATGACTATAATTTGCTTGATTACAATCAATAGCAAAACGTCACAGGAGGAGGAAGGAGAGAGGAGCGAGATCTGAGAGAGAATAGGTTTACTTTTTCTTAGCAAATTTTGGATAAAAGTACAAATACAAACAAATCTGTATCAAAATGAATACATATTAAGAGTAGATAGATGAGAGAGGAAGGAGAGATAATTGTATTTTGTGTTTTGTATTTTATATTTGTTTTATATCAGTTATATTCGAAATATAACAAATTGTATTTTGTTTTATTTTACATCTTATTCTTTATTTATTTTGTATCAATTGTATTCAATATACAACTAATACAGTTGTATTCATCCTCTCTTTGATTGATACAAATATATGATGGAGAGGACGAATGCATAATGTATTCGTAACAAATACAAATACAACTGAGACAAAAATATAAAATATATTTTTTCTTGAATACAATTGAAACAAAATACAAAAATTTTCACCTATATTTTATTAACAGCAAAAGGTCAAATGTATCCATGTACTACATGAACTAGTTTAATATACCTCTAGTTATATTTTTGGGCTAAATATACCACTTTTGTTATACTATTGGACAAATTATATCCTTATGATTAACTGACAACACGTGAACGTCTAGGATTAAAAGAATTATTGATCAAAGTGACATAACTTTAAGGTGACCTTTCACAGGGAGTCAAGCTAAGGACTTCAAGCTTTATAGATGAAGATTGAACCTTTGGAAGTCTTCAACATGGAAGACTCGAAGATATTTAATATATTAAGTGCTCTACCATTTTAATTACTTTGTAATTTTAATGAAGGACAATTGAGTCTTTCTTCATTATTTTTAGTTTTTAGTATAAATAGTAGATATTAGAGTTTCATGCGGAGTTTTTGGACATGTTATGCCTCTTGTGAGAGTTTGGAAGCCCTTTGTTGAACTTCAACATTTTATCCTAGAATTTGCAAGGTTGTTACTTTTTTGAAGATTCTAATAGATTATGTGCTTTTATTTCTCAATAAGTGGTGTTTTGGTTAGTTTAATCATTACATCTTAGTTGCTCAATTTAATTGTGTTTATCTCTTTTCTATCTTTTTTTTAGGCCTAAGTCATCTGCGACCCCTTAAAGTTGTCCACATAATTCACTTAGACACCTGAACTAGGACTTATACCTATTGAACACCTAAATTATCAAGAAATGTGCCTATTAAACACAAAACGCTGATGTGGCAAAATAAGTGTATCTCACTGCTGCTGAGCGTGTGAATACTTTTTTTTAATTTTTTTTAAAAATATTAATACCTACATTGTTGACACTTGGCATGCATTGACTAAATATATATAAAAAATTAATTTAATTAAACATAAATCTTTTAAATCATTAAAAAAAAAACCCACACTCATCTTCCTTCAACCCACCATTTAAACTACCATCCATTCAATTCCCCCAAAATCCCTTATTTTTCCATCCAAAAACAACATGAAGAAATCACTTCTCTTAGCAGCCTCTGTTTCTGCTGTCTACCGCCACCGTCTCTTCTGTATCCGAAGTTCGAATTTCTCTTCACAAGGACGATAATTTGAAGAAAAATGAAGATTGTTCAAAATCGGTGAAAGCATCAACCCACCATTTTAAAAACGTCAAATTTCTCTGTCTTTTGTTATGATTCATTTTTTTTTCATTTTCTGTAAATAAAGTACCTGTTGAATTTTCAAGAAGAAGAAAAAATGGACCATTTGAGAAATAGCATATAACGAAGAAAATGAAAGAGGACAACATTTGGTGGATGAATTCGGAATGAGATGGGGTTAGGCATTTTTTTTGTTATGCAGAGAAATGGTAATTGTAGAACAACAGAGAAGAAGAAGAGAAGAAGATGAAGAAAAAAGGGCAGTAAGTTAGATGGGGTGGGGGTTAGGTGGGGGTGAGGGTGGGGAGAAAGATTTTTTTTTATCAATTTAATTTTTTTATATATTATTAAAGGAAGGAAAATATTCTTTATCTTTTAAAATTAAAATTATGGGCCCATATGCCACGTGTCGTAGTTCTATTCGTAATTTTTGTCAAGATAAAGAGTGTGCATTACACGCACAATATTTGTAAAGGTAATTGTTATTTTATGTTTGATAGGTAAATATTTATTAATATTAAAGTGTCTAATTGGTAAGAGTCTCAGTTGAGGTGTCTAAATGAATTATGCGGACAACTTTAAGGGGCTATCGATGACTTAGGCCTTTTTTTTATTTCTATTTTATTTTTATCTTCTTTTTCACATCAACATATCCTTATGATTAATTGATGACATGTGGACAACCATGATTAAAAGAACTATCCAATTTAATATAAATCAAATTCAACCGGCTTCACACAATAATTTAACCCGAGCTAATCTATTGACCAGCATAATTTATCTTTCAAACAAGAAAACTAATGTTCGATTGAGTTCTCTCCGGATAACTTACTTCGACTTTGACTTCTTAAATTGCTGCACTTTTTCATGCCGCAACAAACAGTTGAGTTTTTTTAGCATAGCAGCCCACTTGCTCTTACCCATAGCTAGGGAATAAATCACGATAATCAACGAGCAAAGAAATAATAACACAACATGACAATATCATGTTTATGACAACCATCAAGTAAAGAGTCTTGTAGATAAACCTACTGATGAAGATAATGAAAGGAGCATGTAAAAAACACACCACCACATAATTATATTCTTAGACTTATTGTGTAGACTTAGATATTTGTGTACAGTTTATGACTTTGTGTTGTGTTTTATGAATTCTAAGAGAACTCAATTGGATGTTAGGTTTCTTGTTTGAAAGATAAATTGGGTGGATGAATAATAGGTCGGCTTAAATTATTGGGCGGGACGGGGCGGGCTATATCCAAATTTGATTTATTTTAAATTGAATAGTTCTTTTAACTCTGACCATCCACGTGTCGTCAGTTAATCATAAAGGTGTATTTAGCCCGAAGTTATGTATATTTAGCCCAAAAGTATAACTTGTGATATATTTAAGGAAAAATAAC